TTATAATTTGACAAATTTTAATAAGAAAAATGAATCAAACTATTACAATTCTGAGTGAATAATTTCACTGAAATCTTTCCATGAAATACCTAAAAAATAGATAAGTCATATAAGAAGAAAATGATTTGTGAATAGTTCTCTTTTTCACCTCTATTTTAGCTTTCCAACTCATGCACTTTCAAAGAAAATTACCCATTTCATTTGTGATACATTCACAAAGTAGAAAGTTAAATCTTTTTAATATTCAAAAACCAAGAATGATGTTAATGATGTTAAAATACGTACATTCAGTATGTGTCTCAGGTAGAAGTACTCTGCAGATTATTTCTATAGTATTTAATAGAATCATGGCATTTAATGTGTAGATTGGCTTCCAATGTGAGGTGATTTAGTCATGTCAAACAAGTGTGACAAAGTTGAAACTACAGCAAAAATAGTTTATTCTACAATTTCAAATTAAATCAAATTGTTTTAATTCTAGCTTGAAGCATACTCATAACTTGTATTTTCACTCTGAGTTTCTTCTCATTTACAACTCTACCAGACCTGGATTCAATAAGACACTAAGGAAGAAGAATATGAAAAGGCATAGGGAAATAAAGGTTACTGGAAATATCTGGGTCATGTCAACCCTTGTTATTTGACCCTTGATAATTTTGGATGCAATTACCGATTTCAAAATATTACATCTTCATAAATTCACCTGATGGAGCTACCAGAATTTTATTGTTGCCACTTTCTTTAACTGCTTTTGCTAAAGAAAGCGGAAACTTAGCGAGGGGATATAGCAATGTCTCGATGAAAATCAAAAGGAAGGTATGTTTGGTTTCCACAGTAACTCCAAGCCACATAATCAATCAATATTAGGAGATATAAAAGATTACATCATAGGTAATTAGGATCATCTTTGCAGAACTATAGTTTTACATAAACCATGACCAGAAACAATATACATGCAATGATATTGTAATATAATTGATTAATATGTTATTTCCAATAATTATATTATAATTTACTAGATAACATATTCTTTGTATTATATGAGGATACTTAATGATTTGTTGTGATACTTCCTTTTGTTCTATTGCTTTCCTCAATATTTCTAATCACGGTATTTATTTAGCATTTTGTTTGTTTTCTATAGAGATGGGGTCTCACTGTGTTACTCAGGCTGGTGTTGAACTCCTAGGCTCAAGCAAACTGCCCACCTCAGCCTCCCAAAGTCTGGGATTTCAGGAGTGGGCCACTATGTCTGGCCTAGCATTTTGTATTGCAATCATTTAATCTATATTGAATTACTTATCACATTCTAGAAAAGAAAATAATGCCTTGTTGAATGCACTGTGTCCAAAATTAAAAGTAAAAAAATATATAAAAATTACTTAATACCAGATAAATATTAATGGCTACAACACACATATCAATCAGACATTACTTAATCCTGTACAGATGTTCTAAAATCAACAAAAAAATAAATTTCCAATTGGCAAAATTTAGTTTTGTATTTCTCAATTTCTTAACCTTATAAGAAACCGAACTTGCTTTTTGGAGTGTACCACCTTGTTGAAGCCTCAGATTATAATACATTATTTCAGATTTAAGGGAGGCCAATTGGGAATAGATCGATCGGCATAGATATCCAACCGATTAGAAGCTGCAAGGATAAGTGGGGAAACCAAGGCTTGAATGCAATGATTTCTCACAGGGTAATGACCTGCAAGCTTTTCAGGAAACCCAAACCCACTTGATAGTTGGTAGTTAATGAGTATATAATTTAAGCCCCAGAAAAGTGTATAGTTACACTGAAGAGAAGCTGAGTGCATAGATAGAGCTGTTTATATAGATTATGGAATGAGAAGAGGAAATTTAACAAAGGTTGCTAAAATGCTAATAAACTGGAATTTTACTGTCTTTAAGATGAAAAGCCTCTGCTGAAAGTCAGCATAACATGAATTTGTTTTGATACTTCCTTTTGTTCCATTCTTTTCCTCAATATTTACAATCAAGGCATTTATTTAGCATTTTACTTGTTTTTAATAGAGATGGGGTCTCACTATGTTGCTCAGGCTGGTGTTGAACTCCTTTAACAAGAGTTTAAAAATCACAATATTTTATTAATTTAATCAGATAATACATGTTTTTAAAAACAAAAGCAAAGGTGAACTAGGCTCGTATGTCCCCGTGCTATCCAGTCATGCTTCATTAGGGTAAAGAGCGCAAGAGAACACAGACTGTGCCATAACATCACATTGACTGTCCAAAGGCCTAACACATTTTGGAATAAGTCTTGAAGAATAAATGCCCTTTTATAAAACAGCCAACTTTGATATATGATATGCCTTTCCATATTTCTGTGATATCCTAGTGCTGCTGCAACACTGTTTTAAGAGCATTCGGTAGTTTGTGACTTGGCTGCGTCGGTGTTGGCATCTGGTAATGCTTATATTCAATCATATTTCTTAACACAAGGCAAAAGGAGAAGCAAAAGAATGTCAAACATACACTCTCAATTGCAAATAAAATACTACATAAATCATAAGCATAGAGATCATTATTCTAGATATGATTTCTTCATCTTTGTGGGTTAAAAATTGGTAAAAACAGAGCTACCAAAGTACCAGGGCAAATCTAATGTGAGAAAAGTTGAGGTTATTACTTAGGTTAAACAATAAAGACCATTCTCACCCCACATACCCCAGCAACAAAAAATCAAGTGCAGATCACACTTGAATTATCTGAGTATTTCGGGCAAAAGCTCTTTCTGGCTTGCATTGTCAGCAATCCCCTTCCTTTAACATTTCACAGGTGCTATGAGGAGCTCTGTATGCCCCGCTACCTCTGCCAAGGTAAGTATTTCCTTAGTTACATTGTATCAACTCAGAATGGAATTTCCCCGTTTCCTCACATGTTTCTGTTCTCAGAGTCAAGGCTTACCCATGTACTGACTGAGTTTCACATCACTTGGCAGAGGAAAGGAGCAAAGAGGTCACACTGATGGCTAAACTGTTATTACAGTCCTGGGCTAAAACATGCAAACCGAAACTGGCCAAAGAGAGGTTTTATAGATAACCTTTAAAATTATAGGGAAGAGGCATAAAATAAACCTATTGATGCAAGTTTTACAAAGTTTATATACATGAAGTCAGTTTGTTTTCGAATTCTGAATGCAGATTTTGATATAATAACCCTTATTATGAGGCTTATTAACACTGTGTGAACATGAAGATTATTGTGTGAAATAGAAAAACTCCACACATTGAGACTACATTAAAGTGAGAGGGAAAAGATTTGGAGGAGGCAAAGCCTGGATCTGTAATTTGACTTGCCTTTCTTAAATGAGAGGATATATACATCAAATCATCTGTAATTTACCAGCATTTTACCAAACAAAGGGTTTCTGAACACCAAGGTAGGGACTGAAAGCAAACTACCACTTGGAAAATGAAAGGCTGTGTACTCAATAATAGAGTTGTACCTCAAATTATGAAGTTAATGTAAGACTTTCTTTGCCTAAGTCTGCATACACAAATAGAACAACAGAACCTTAAACTGTAGTGTGGGATGGGCTCTTGCCTTATAATTTATTGGAAATTCAAACTCCAGAATTAGGAGAAAGCAGATCTAGATTACAAACGAGTAAAAGCTTTTAAGGAAAAATGTATAAATTAAGGTACTTTAAAGCTATATTTACAGCATGATTTACAAATCTTAACACAGTTCTTCTGAAAATTATAAACAATCACGAATTTTTCTTTGGCATGGCAACAGAAATGAGTTCTCTATAGAATCTGGTTTCCTGCACTAATTTAATATTTCTACATCATTTATATACAATTGAATTTGAAAAATAACATGTTATCACCTGTCTATAAAGGCAAAAAAGATAAAAAAGTCAAGATACATTTTTAAAAAGTTTAACTAAAAAAATGGCAGAAAAAATATAAATCCTTTTACATTTTTTATCAGTTTTGAAATGATCACAGTACAGAGAAAAATTTGAATTTGAAAGTTCATTCTCTTTTTATTAGAGAACCAGGCTTTATTAAAGGGAATTTAAAATAATTTTTAGTTCCTATGCTGTATTATCAATTCCTTCCCATTGGCTGTCAAGAGAAGCAGAGGCTATAGAATATTTACAACCCTTGCATCAAATGACATCAACTAAATACATATTCGGTAACTAATTAAACTCAGGAAAATTCTAATACTAAATTTATTCATGTTCTCTTTCCTTTCTCAAACCCTGGCTCTCTCCACGGGGTTTTTGTCCTATTTAGTATAAGCAAATACAGTCTCCCCAGATGTAGAAGTGCTTTGTCACCTAACCCCAATGGAACTGTTCATATTGTCAAGTACTGTGCAACAATTCAGAGAGCTATGAGAAATTACAAAGCTTAGCAAGGGTAGAACTGATCATTCAAAATAACAGTTGGTGTTAATCTCCTCAGATAGGTCTGAAAACACAGGGAAGTCCCTCAAGTTTCTCAATTAAGACAGCTTTTGCTCCGTAAACAATTAAAAGAAGCCAAAGCAGGTCTATTTTTGAGAGAATTATCTGACTGACTTCTGCAGGAGTTAGCAACTGGCAAAATAAAAGTAAATTTTTACTGTTTCTATACACATGCAGAACATTTTAATACTTTGACGCCAGCTGCACATATAAAAATGACTTCAGAGATATTTCCATTATTAATGAAATTGTCTTTAAGTTTCCTAAAGAAGCTTAGGTATGTAATCATCTCAGTTCAATTATATTTTCATTTACTTCTGAAATTTACATTTGCATTTTTGCACAAATTATGTTGTGTTTGAAGTTATCATTACTTGCATAATAATAATATAATCTTAGTTTTTTTAACAGTAATTTAAATATTTTATGAATCATACTATAACATGTA